AGCTTTTTCGAACCCCTAGAACTCCTAATCATCTCCGACTTCCTCGTCATCGACCTACATCAGTGACCTAACCCCGGTGAGACCCCTCCTCTTCTCAGGTAATTTCTAGACTCTTATTTATTTATTTATTTATTTACTGTAAATGCACCTATTTCACTTATTGATCTCCCTGAATCCCTCTTTTATTGTATACCGATTTGGGGTTTTATAACCCATTACATATGTAAAAAATAATTAAAAATGTTTTTGGTGATGTGTTGGAGCAGGGGATGGGCACGAGCAGGGCATGGGCGTCAATAGTGGCTTCGCGTGGGTGGCCGACAGTCATGGGTTGATGCTTGGTGGATTTGCAACTGGGAGTAAAACGTGGTTGTGCATGGTGTGGGGTATGGGCCTAATTAAAAATATGGCCTACCCATTTATATATCCACTAGTGAACCATATTTGAGTCTATTTCCCTTTTATTGTTTTACACCTCATAATTAAACCTGAAACCTTTATTTTATTTTCCTCTCTTTTCACACCCTTACCGAGACTTGAGATCTTGTATCACTCTTGTTCCATGAAAAAAAAGATGAAAAAATCACTTTTTCGAGAAAAAAATAGCAAGTTGTTCATTGTTTCGAATAATAGAAAAAAAAAAGTAGACCCTTGTTCAAAAAAAAAGAAGGGAAGGAAAATCGATTGTTTCAATTGTCTTTCATCTATTCTTTTTTCTTGTTTTGTTTTTCATTGCACTTCAAGTTAATTCGTGGATTGTTCTTAATTAATTTGATATCTTGTTTCGGTATTTTAAACCTTTCTTTTGGCATTTTCCCTACCATAACCTAAGTCCCGTTACACCTTGTTTAAAGACTCCTTGATTATTTCATTATGTTCATTTTTCGTAGTGGATACTTTATCGGATTCCAAGCCTATGGTAAAATTTTGGTTAGTTTCGGTTTGAGCGATTTAATTTACCTCAAACACTTTGAGCGGATATGTGTGAATCTTTGTGAGGTATTGACTCATGTTTCATTGAAGTCGACAATTAATTGGGATATCTTGCTTTCTTTAAAATTTCTTGGTTGTATCTTTGCTTGAAATTTACTTGAATTCGGGAAATATCATGGACTTAGTTCGATTAGATTTGAATTAAACTCAAGTTTTAGGATAATATTTTAAATATTATATTTTATCTTTGTTTTAGGTATTTTAGTTTAAATAGGTTTTAGAATTTTAATTAAGTTTTAGGATATTATTTTTATATTTTATCTTTGTTTTATGTATTTTAGTTTAAATAGGTTTTAGTATTTTAATTAAGTTTTAGAATATTATTTTTATTTTATCTTTGTTTTAGGTATTTTAGTTTAAATAGTTTTAAGTGTTTTAATTAGGATTTAAGATGTTTTAGCTTGTTTTTAGGAATTTAAAAGTTATAAATACCCTCTAAGGGAGCCTATAAACATATTTCTCTCATCTGATAATAAAATCTTCTTTTTCTCTCTAGCTTTCTCTCTATTTTCCCATACTTTTCAATTATGCTAAGTATGACTTTGGTCATGCTTAGCTAATTTTCTTTAAAGTCGAAGGCTAAAGCGAAGGCTCAATTTCAAACGTGAGAATTGTAAGGTACTTAAATCGCTTCAGATTTTCTCTTTATTTTCTGAGCTTACTTTTCAAATCAAAACAATTTCGACATTGGTTCGGATATTGTTATGGTTAACGTTCAAAGAAGGATTTACTTATTGAAGCATATTCAACTTCCCGAGAACACACTTAGTAAAATTGTTTACTAAGAGAAAACTGAGATCGGAATCAGTTATTGTTGAAACGACACAATCCAAGTTGGCAACGAAGAATTGTCCTTGTAAGCTGACATGAATCTTGAAGTAAAAAATCTGTTTCGATGATCCGAGGAATTTGAGGCGAAGTTGAAGTCTGATGTTGCTCTCACCATAAGTTTTCATTATCTTAATTTATTTATTTTATTTATTTGTTTGTTTAAATTTTATCTCATTATACTTCTTTAAATAATTTGAACCCCTTTTATCTTTATTACTATTTTTAAAATCATTATTTATTATTTATTATTTTATTATTTTCTCTTTTTTATTCTATTTATTCTATATTTTCAATTTCATCTAGAATTATATATTCTTCTAAAATTAAGAAAGAGTTTTACTAAATTAGAAACACCACAGTCCCTGTGGATCAACCCTGCTTCTCTGTACTACTTTCCTTTTCTATTTGTTAAAGAAGTTGAAATTATTTTGATAGCAAAACGATGGTTATCAACTTCAGAGATCACATCACACATATCTATATCCTCCACATCCTTAGCCATTCTTTCCACAGTATTAGTCTTGCGAGCTTTAGCTTTATTTGGATGTCTATACTTGATTTGTACCCCATCTTTCCACAGTTAAAGCATTTCCCTTAGAATTTCTCCTTATTGGAAATTTCACCTTTAGGTCCCAGTTTTGACATATTCTTAGGTTGTTTTCCCTTCTTGGAGTCCTTGACTTCCATCACTTTTCCCTTAGTCTCTTCTTTGTTGAACTTCTTAGCAGTAATTTTGTTGTATTCTTCTATTCGAAGTCTGACAACTAGTTCTTTCATGGTCATTTCCTTCCCCTTGTGCTTCAGATAATTCTTGAAGTCACTCCATCCAGGAGGTAATTTCTTAGTTGTGGCGGCTACCTGAAAGGATTCGCCTATGACCATTCTCTCAGTAAGGATTTTATTGATTAATTTTTGGAATTCCTCCACTTGTTTTACTACTGGTTTAGAATGAACCATAGTAAAATTCAAGAACTTGGCAACTAAAAACATTTTAGTCCCAACATATTTAACTTTGTACTTGTGGTCCAATGTTTCCCACAATTTTTTTGATGTTTCATAACCAACATATATCAGATATAATGAATCTTCAAGACAATTCAATATTATATTCCGACATATATAATCTAAATTCTTCCAAGCTTCAACAATGTTTAAAGTAGTAACATTGTCTTCTCTATCTTTAAGAACATTATGATCTTCCTTCAAGAACCTTGAAAGGTTCCCTATGGTCAAATAAAAAGCCATCTTCTGTTGTCTCATCTTGAAAATCTCTTTGCAGAATTTTGTCGGCTTTTCGTTGTGGTTAATTGCCACTACCGATTGACTCACATTCAGATTTGGATTCTGAACCGTTACTACCATCTTAGCATTCATGTTGGGTGAACCAGTAGAGTCCATTGTCTCCATTTTTCTGTAAAAGAAACGAAACCAAAATTAGAAATAATTATAGTAAACATAAAATTAATTCTTATTTATTTTCGATTTTGTTATCGGACTGAATCAATATTCTGAAGAAAAGACAGTAATCGCAGTTACTTTCATTATAATTTTTGCTATATAGATTTGTTAACTTTGAGATTTTAGTAAACTCGTTAAGACGACAGGATAAATCCCAAAACAAATTATTTAATATCTCGGTTTTGTTTTCCCCACAATTCTGAATTATCTCGGATCAAGAAAGGTAGAAGAAGAGAAATATGTCTTGATATTGAATCCGAGAGTAACAATCCGAGACTAAATTGGAACCTGAGAAAAGTAAAAGAAAGAATAAAATTCTTTTAAAAAAATAAAAGGGAATTAAAGGATATAAAATACTTTGTATTTTGATCCTGAGATCGGAATCAGTTGAGGCATGTCGTTACACAGTTTCCTTAAGACAGATTTTCGGTCATACATTTGTGCTCGAGATCCTTTGGTCGTCTGTCTCCAAGGATACAACAACTAGATAATCAACTACAGTAGTACAACAGTAGAGATCACGAACTTTCCTTATCTTCGATTATCACTGGAAAAACTAAGGGAAAAGGGACATTTTCTGAGAATGAGAGAAAATATTTTCAAGAGAAGAAGACTTCTTGTATTCTGAGTTGTGAAAAAACCGAGAGATTTGCTTAGTATTTATAAAAAAAATTTGAGAGAGTTTTTCTCCAACTAAATCTCTTTTAATATCTAAATTTAAACAGATAATAATATCTTTTAAATTTAAAATATTAAACCCGAGAGATTTACTCCAACCAGATATATTTTAATATATAAATTTAAATAGATAATAATATCTTTAAAATTTAAAATATTAAACATATATACATTCCTTTTATTATTCAAATTAAAAAAATTATTATTTTGATTTAAAATATAAAAAATATATAATTTTCTTTTAATATTCAAAGTTAAAAAGATAACATATACAATTTTAAATTTACATATTAAAAGAGTAATTATCCTATTAATATTCAAATTAAATCATATCTTTTAATTTACAATATTTAAAAACATATATAATTTTAGGGCGAAAAATTCGACCCGACCCGACCCGAAAAAAATATATAATTTTACCTTATATATTTAGGGATAATTACAATAATACACATCTATATATAATTTTTTTCAATTAAGTCACTGTATTTATTGATTAATTTTTTTATTATTTCGGGTCGGGTCGGGTTAGGTGAAACCTTGTTTTGATCAGGTCGGGCCTCGGGTGGAGGCTCTCTTGTTCTCGGGTCGGGTGGACAAAAAACCCGACCCATACCCATCCCTAATTTTAGTACCTAAACTTTTAATTTTTTTCATAACTTAATATTAATTTTTGAACAAGGTACTAAAATAAAATAAAACTAAACTTTAGATAGAAAAAATAAGAGTTTAGATAGTAAAACGAATTAAAACGGACAGTTTAATAGCAAATGCTTAACTTGCCCTAAAATATATTCTAATTTTTCTTTCCCGCCTTCACTTGGTATAAAAGCGAAGAGGAGTTTGCTGCTCTCAGTCCTCTGCTCAGCTGAAAAACAGAACGGTTCGCTTCTCTCTCAGATCAGTCCCTCTCTATATCCAAACAGAAATTTCATTAAATTTCCTCACAGTTATTAGCGTTATACTTAGTTTTGCACGATTATTTTCAAAATACTGTTTGGATTCTTGGAAATTTGGAAAATAAATTGTCTACAAACTTTTAAAAGCTTTCACGAAAATTCAAAATACTCTTCGGATTGTCGGAGATTTGGAAAAGAAACTATCAATCAACTTTTGAAAGCTTCGACTGATTCTCAGAAATTTGGAATGCTCCAAACAGATCTATTTCATTTCAATTAACTGACTCTTTTAAAGCTTTCAATTCATTGATTCGGTTGCAGATTTGAATCAGCTTTCAAGTAGAAATGTCGAACGTAACTGTCTGCGTACGCTTCAGGCCTTTGAGCGCAAAGGAGAAAAGAGATATCGGTGATAATATCTGTATCCAAAGCATTGACTCCGAAAACTTCATTATCAAGGTTTGAATTTCGCTTAAGTTTGTTTTCAACTCCAATTTCTTGTCGCTCTTATTTTCTATTTACTTTTGTTTTTCAAAAAACAAAATGATAAAGAAGCTTTAAAAGCTGATCGGTTCAGTAATTTGAGATTGAATGTGATAGGATGAGAAGGAAGAAGGTTTTACATTTAGCTTTGATAAGATTTTTTATGAGGAATCTAAACAAGCTGATGTCTATGAGTTTCTTGTTCTTCCAATTGTCCGAGGTAATATCAGAAAACTGTTTCATTGTTTCTCTTCATTTTCATGACTTCATCAACTGTTTTATGCATTGCATTTTTTCCCTCTGATAACAGATGCTGTCAATTCTATAAATGGAACAATCATCGCTTATGGACAGGTAAGATATCTTGCTTATTTGTGTTACCAGTACATTCCAGAATTTCCAGTACTTGAATGAACTCTCCATTAACTAAATGCTCCAGTTAAGGATTTGTTCATAGTATGATTGATTACGCTGTTGAAGATAATAATAAAGAAGTTAATAGTGAGAAATATCCTCCAAATCTTGTTGATGCATTAAGCTAAAGGACTATGTTGGTTTAGATTTCTATCTGTCTTTCATTGTTGGTAAATAGTAGATCACATTCACACTGCTAACGCAACACATTGCCCTCACCTTTTTGATTGATTGCTTAACTTATCATGAAATACATTTAGTCCTATTTCATTTTCTTTTTCTTTTGATGACAGACGGGGGCAGGGAAGACATACAGTATGGAGGTCTGCCGATGAATGCCTAAATGTAGCCCTGTTAAATCTTGTAAATCAAATTGAATTTGTTAATGATGATATATACCTTATTGGACCAGGGGTCAAACATACTGGAATCTGATGAAAAGAAGAAAGGGATACTTCCAAGAGTGGTGGATGGATTGTTTACATGTATAAAAACTTCTGCCGACTCAACCAAGTACACTATTAAGTTGTCAATGGTATGGAAGCATGTCATGTATGTTCAGAGAACTATATTACTTTCAATTTTACTATTAAATGATGTATAATTCATGAAAATTTTTATTCTTGTCAATAGGTGGAGATCTATATGGAGAAGGTTCGGTATGTATCACCTTAAATTCTATTTGTTATTGGATTGAGAGCTTTGATTCTATAGTAAATATTTCTGATTGGCCTTTCTGCTCTAAAGCTCATGTTGATGAAATACTATATGAGGCGCTTTTCTAGCTGTTTTTATATTTATGTTAAACGCACATGTTTTTCTTATCCTCAGGGACCTTTTTGATTTGTCGAAGGACAATATCCAGATTAAGGAGAGCAAAATACAAGGAATATTGTTATCTGGAGCAACAGAGGTTATCATGTTTTGGCCTGGTGGCATGAATACTGTTATTTTGAACAAACTCAATCTTGTGTAAAAATTAGTTTAATTAAGCTCCAAATTTCCTTTCCACTAAAGTAAATCAAAGAAGTATAACATTATTTATATTGAAACTATACTTCGTCTCACTTAGATAATGTTATATGCCTCTTTCCTTACTAAATCCTCTATTTATTCCTTGATGTTGTTCACAGATCTCTCTTTCAAACCCAGCCAAAGCATTGCAAAGCCTATCTGTAAGATTAAGAATTGTTAGAACTTTATCTTCCTTTCTGTTCATAGGATATAGTTTCTAATATCGGCCTTGAAATTTAGAGTGGGATAGCTAACAGAGCTATTGGAGAGACCCGTATCCTTTGTCATTTGTGCTTTTACGTTTTCCGTTAATTTCTTAATTAGAGAAATATAAAACTTGAGTGAAAGAATTCAGTCTTCGTTTTTACTTCGTAAAAGTTCTATTTAGAATTTTTTTTTACTTAAACGTAGACAGAAATGAACATGGCAAGCAGCAGGAGCCATTGCGTTTACATGTTCACAATCGACCAACAATCACTTTCAGAAAAGAGGTATAGCTTATCCCTTGACTATGTAAAAGTCTTCAAATGTAACTATCTACAAATTTGACAATGTAACCAGGGTGAAATCTGGGAAGTTAGTTCTTGTGGACCTGGCGGGGTCAGAGAAAGTAGAGAAAACTGGGGCTGAAGGAAGACTACTCGAAGAGGCTAAAACAATCAATAAATCCCTTTCGGCATTAGGGAATGTTATAAATGCTCTGACATGTGGTACACCAGCCAAAGCAAGCCATATTCCTTATCGTGATTCCAAGCTCACTCGACTCCTGCAAGATGCTCTTGTAAGTTCTCTAACCCCTAATTTCATCTTTATGTAATGTCATCAAATCAGTTTCATGATCTGTTGGTTTCCAATTTCATATTAAATTTGCAGGGTGGGAACTCCCGCTCTGCATTGCTTTGTTGTTGCTCACCAAGTCCTTCAAATGCATCAGAAAGCCTGTCCACTCTTCGTTTTGGTGCAAGGTTCATGAACACTATAATATGCTATTATACATATTTAAACCCACTAGAAAAAAAAGAAGTCTAAGCATTAAGGAAGGCCTAATATTCTCCTTTTACATATCTTAATTTCTCCTTCTAGAAAAGAACATTTTTAATAACAAAAGCTGAAGGTTCGATATCTCGTTTTGTATGATCAAACTATATATCTAATACTTTATTATTATTTTTTTCCTGTGGGGTTGTAATTTTCATGGCAGGGCGAGGCATATAAAGACATCTCCACTTGTCAAGGTTAATGAGGACAAAGGTTCCGATAAGAAGAATGGAGCTCTTTCTGGTACCAGAGACGAGACATTCGAGAAAATTCTAGAAAAAGTTAGTGTTATGATCCGACATTACGTAGATGAAACATTCTTGTCACTTTCTAATATGGTTTGTTCTTGTTTAGATGAGTGAGAGGCTTAATGCTGAAGATGTGAAGTTACTTGAGGAATTATTCATTCAGGCAGGACTATTTGTGGATCTTGATTCAACAGATGACTTGGAATCAAACTTTCAAGATGTTGTTGAACAAACCATTTCTTCATTGATGAAAGCTGTGGAGGAGCTCAGATCTGCTGTTCAGATGGTAATGATTTCCATTATCCATTATTGTCTTACCCTAGAGAAATAAGGGAAATAAAAGAGGGGTAGCAGTCATATATGCTCTAGATATTTGTATGACCATTTTTCCCAAAAAATGGTAAACTACACGGTTAGTGCCCCAACTATGAAAAAAGCCATACCTAACATTTATTTTTTTTTTTATTTTGGTCATCCATCGAAAATTAACAGTGATGCTGATGTATCATCGTAAGGTAATATCATGTCATAATTGAAAACTAAAAAAATATCACTTAGTAATTCTGTTAAGTTTTTAACAATATGACCAAAATGAAACTAAAATGTAATTTTAAGTGTCATTTAAAAAAATAATTGGATGAAAAACGCAACAAAAATGATAGTTGGGGTACCAAACATGTAGTTTACCAAAAAAAATAATCACAATTTTTCTTGAAAGTTTGTCAGTTTTTCTATAATTCTTGCTCAATAGAGACCAAAGTTACTTTTCTAGACATATGGGACCTTCATATCATGGCAATTGAATTTGGTTCCATGCAATCTCTGAGATTACCATATTTGTGCAGCTTCAGAGAGAGAACATGACCCTGAAGGAAAGGCTTGGTGCTGCTGAAAGATTAGATGCTTTGCCCGGAGGAACTGCTGATTTTCTTCAGAAGATTTCGGGTCTTCTCAGCTACTTCATTCCGGGAATGCAGAGATGAAACTTTGTTCCACTCCATGATGATGGTTTATAGGTATTGATTGGATAAGTGATAGAATCCAAGTAAACACTGGAACACATTTGCTCTACTTCAATTTATGTCTTGATAAATCATATCTCCATACGTCAGAATTGAAATGCACCGAAAAAGGGCATTAATTTAGTAAAAAAAGGGAGGTAGGCACCGAATTTTGCAATGTCAAAATTAGGTGAAAAATGGTTGAAAATTAAATGGGTAAATTACAATTTTAGTCATTATAATTTTAGAATATTTACAAGATTATTCCTTAAGTTTCAACTATAAATACCCTAGCTCATTTAGCTTCAAAACCATCCCAAAGCATTATAGCTTTCTTCCAATACTAGAGAGAATTTAGAGAGTTTCTTGAGAGTTGTTTTCTCCTTTTTTATCAAGATAAAATTATCATTGTTTTCTCCTTGGTAGATCGAGAGAGGTTGTAATTCATATTTTCTCATAGTGAAATTCTTCTATCGTTGCCCGTGGTTTTTACCCTAAATTTTTTAGGAGTTTTCCACGTAAATTTTGTGTCTCTTTTATCTTCATTTTTATTTTCTCAAATTATCAGTTGCGATTTTGCTCTATCCGATAGCCGTCTTCCGCAACAATTGGTATCCGAGCCAGATTTGAGTGTGTAATATCTGCTTATTGTCTTTGTGGTTGCCACCAAAAGGTGGATCCTCCAACATAAGAAAATAAGAAGGTATTACCCATTCTTTGAGGTTTTAGAAAACTATTCACGATAGTGAAATAGTGGGAGCTATCAATAATAGAAGCTATGGCAACAAAATTTGATATTGAAAAATTTAATAGGAGAAATTTCTCACTGTGGAAATTGAAGATGAAGGCCATCCTGAGGAAAGACGGGTGTCTAGCTGCTATCAATGAAAGGTCGATGGATTTCGCAGATGACAACAAATGGAACAAGATGGATGGAAATGCTATGACAAACTTTCATCTAGTATTAGCAGATGAAGTTTTGTCAAGCATCGAGGAGAAGAAGACAGCTAAGGAGATATGGGATCATCTCACCAAATTGTACGAGGCCACATCGTTGCACAATAAAATTTTCCTTAAGAGGAAATTGTACACTCTTAGGATGTCAGAATCTACTTCAGTGACGGAGCACTTAAACACACTGAACACTTTATTTTCTCAGCTTACATCCTTAAGCTGTAAAATAGTAGAACAAGAACGTGCTGAACTTCTACTTCAAAGTCTACCGGATTCGTATGATCAACTCATCATCAACTTGACAAACAATAATGTCACCAGTCTAGTCTTCGATGACGTTGCAGCTACTGTTCTACAAGAAGAAAATCGGCGCAAGAACAAGGAAGACAGACAAGTAAATCTGTAACAAGCAGAAGCGTTGACAACGACGAGAGGGAGATCAACAGAACGTGGCCAAAGCAGCAGTCACAAACATGGTAGATCAAAGTCGAAGAGCAAGAAGAATTTAAAGTGCTACAACTGTGGAAAGAAGGGTCACTTGAAGAAGGATTGTTGGAGTCTAAATAAAAACTCCAATCCACAAGGCAATACCGCAAACACTTCAGATGATGAAGATGCACTATGCTGTGAAGCGTCAACCACCGTGGAAGGAAGAAAAAGATTTGCAGATATATGACTCATTGATTCAGGAGCAACATATCACATGACCTCAAGAAGAGAATGGTTCCATCAGTATGAAACTGTCTCAGGAGGATCTGTGTATAGTTGCAATGATCATGCCTTAGAGATCATTGGCGTTGGAACCATCAAATTGAAGATGTATGATGGAACAATTAAAGTTGTTCGAGATGTGCGGCACGTGAAAGGCCTAAAAAAAATTTATTATCCTATGGATTGTTGGATAATAATGCAAGCAAGATTGAAACACGGAAAGGAATCATGAAGGTGTTCCGTGGAGCGCTTGTGGTGCTGAAAGGCGAAAAGATAGCAGCAAACTTGTACATGCTGAAGGGAGAGACTTTGCTAGAAGCAGAAGCCTCTGTTGCCTCATGTAGTTCAGATTCGGCAATGCTATGGCATCAGAAACTTGGACACATGTCAGAACAAGGAATAAAAGTCCTTGTGGAGCAAAAGCTACTTCCAGGCTTAACAAATGTATCACTTCCTTTGTGTGAGCATTGCATAACAAGTAAGCAGCACCGGTTGAAATTCAACACATCAAATTCTAGAGGCAAAAGTGTTCTAGAATTGGTTCACTCTGACGTATGGCAAGCACCAGTAACGTCCCTAGGTGGAGCAAAATACTTTGTCTCATTTATTGATGACTACTCCAGGAGATGTTGGGTGCACCCTATTAAGAAGAAGTCAGACGTGTTTTTAACTTTCAAAAACTTCAAAGCGCGGGTGGAACTTGATTCTGGAAATAAGATCAAGTGTTTCAGAACAGATAATGGAGGAGAATACACAAGCGAAGAATTTGATGACTTTTGCAAGAAAGAAGCATCAAAAGACAGTTCACAGTGGCGAACACTCCTCAACAAAATGGAGTGGCAGAGCGGATGAACAGAACCTTGTTAGAAAGAACAGGAGCAATGTTGAGGGACGCATGCCTAGAAAAATTATTCTGGGCAGAAGCAGTCAATACCGCCTGTTATTTGGTGAATTGAGCTCCATCAACAGCAATAGAGCTGAAGACACCAATGGAGATATGGACTGGTAAACCAGTTGATTATTCAAACCTCCATGTATTTGGAAGTATTGTGTACGTGATGTACAACGCCTAAGAAATTTCAAAGCTAGATCTAAAATCCAGGAAATGCAAATTCTTGGGGTATGCTGATGGAGTAAAGGGGTATCGCTTGTGGGATCCCACTGCCCGCAAAGTGATCATTAGCAGGGATGTTATCTTTGTAGAAGATAAACTACAAAGAAAAGAAGACGATGATAGCGCTGAAAAGTCAGAGACTACTCAGATACATGTGGAAAAAGAGTTTGAAAAAGGAGATTCTTCTGAAGCAGAACCAGCACATGATAAATAAGAACCAGAGAGTTCAGAAGCTCCAACAACTCGTCAATCAGATCGTGTGAGAAGACGTCCCATTTGGCACTCAGATTATGTTATAGAAGGTAATATTGCATACTGCCTTTCAACAGAGGACGGTGAGCCATCAACATACCAGGAGGCAATAAACAGCTCAGATGCTTCACTGTGGATGATGACGATGCAAGAAGAAATCGAAGCCCTTCATAAAAATAATACATGGGACCTTGTGCCACTACCACAAGGAAGGAAGCCAATTGGTAACAAATGGGTTTTCAAAATCAAGCGAAATGGTAACGATCAAGTGGAGAGGTATCGTGCAAGACTGGTGGCCAAAGGATATGCTCAGAAAGAAGGTATTGATTTCAATGAAATTTTTTCTCCTGTGGTTTGACTAACAACAGTTCGAGTAGTCTTGGCAATGTGTGCTACATTGAATTTACATTTGGAACAGCTAGATGTTAAAATAGCTTTTCTTCATGGAAATCTTGAAGAAGAGATTTATATGCTTCAGCCTAAAGGTTTTGAAGAAGACGAAAAGAAGAACTTGGTTTGCAGGTTGAACAAATCTCTGTACGGTCTAAAGCAGGCGCCGAGGTGTTGGTATAAGAGATTTGATTCCTTCATTATGTGCCTTGGATACAACAGACTTAATGCAGACCCTTGTGCTTATTTCAAGAGGTCTGGTGATAACGATTTTGTTATATTGTTGTTGTATGTGGATGACATGTTGGTTGCAGGACCCAACAAAGATCATATTAAAGAATTGAAGGCACAACTGGCTAGGGAATTTGAAATAAAGGACTTGGGATCAGCAAACAAGATTCTAGTGATGCAAATTCACCGAGACAGAAATAATAGGAAGATTTGGCTTTCACAAAAGAATTACTTGAAGAAAATCTTGTCACGATTTAGCATGCAAGATTGTAAGCCAATTTCTACCCCTCTTCCTATTAACTTCAAATTATCCTCCAGTATGAGTCCTAGCAGTGAAGAAGAGAGGATGGAGATGTCTCGAGTACCGTATGCATCAGCAGTGGGAAGTTTAATGTTCGTTATGATATGCACAAGACCAGACATTGCACAAGCAGTGGGAGTGGTTAGTCGGTACATGGCGAATCCAGGCAAAGAGCATTGGAATATTGTAAAGAGGATCCTAAGATACATCAAAGGGACCTCAAATGTTGCATTATGTTACGGAGGATCAAACTTACTAATCAATGGGTATGTAGATTCTGACTATGTAGGGGATTTGGATAAAAGCAAATCTACTACAGGATATGTGTTCAAAGTTGCTAGTGGAGCTGTAAGCTGGGTTTCAAAATTGCAGTCAGTTGTGGCTACGTCCACAACAGAGGCAGAATATGTAGCAGCTACACAAGCCAGTAAAGAAGCAATTTGGTTGAAGATGCTATTGGAGGAGCTTGGGCACAATCAAGAGTATGTCTCTTTGTTTTGTGACAGTCAAAGCGCCTTGCATTTAGCAAGGAATCCAGTATTTCATTCAAGGACAAAGCACATACGAGTTCAGTACCATTTCATTCGTGAAAAGGTGGAAGAATGGACGGTAGATATGCAGAAGATCCATACCAAAGACAACATAGCAGATTTCATGACAAAGGCGATCAATACCGATAAATATACTTGGTGTCAATCCTCATGTGGCCTGTCAGAAACGTAAGCAACATGATGATATAAGGTAGAAAGAATAGTGTGAAGATATGATTGTTCCAATCAAATCTTCAAGTGGAAGATTGTTGAAATGCACCGAAAAAGGGCATTAATTTAGTCAAAAAAAGGGAGGTAGGCACTGAATTTTGCAATGTCAAAATTAGGTGAAAAATGGTTGAAAATTAAATGGGTAAATTACAATTTTAGGCATTGTAATTTTAGAATATTTACAAGATTAGTCCTTAAGTTTCAACTATAAATACCCTAGCTCATTTAGCTTCAAAACCATCACAAAGCATTCTAGCTTTCTTCCAATACTAGAGAGAATTTAGAGAGTTTCTTGAGAGTTGTTTTCTCCTTTTTTATCGAGAGAAAATTATCATTGTTTTCTCCTTGGTAGATCGAGAGAGATTGTAATTCCTATTTTCTCATAGTGAAATTCTTCTACCGTTGCCCGTGGTTTTTACCCTAAATTTTTTAGGGGTTTTCCACGTAAATTTTGTCTCTTTTATCTTCATTTTTATTTTTTCAAATTATCAGTTGCGATTTTGCTCTATCCGATAGCCGTCTTCCGCAATATTCGGGTCTTCTTAGCTACTTCATTTCGGGAATGCAGAGATGAAACTTTGTTCCACTCCATGATGATGGTTTATAGGTATTGATTGGATAAGTGATAGAATCCAAGTAAACACTGGAACACATTTGCTCTACTTCAATTTCTGTCTTGATAAATCATATCTCCATACGTCAGAAATGGAATCATTGTCGGGACGGATATATCGGCCATCCACACGTGACAACCATCGGTCAACCGGGATTTCCAGCTGCATCAAAATCAACTGTAAACGAACAACATAATCGTTGCAGGTTCACAAGAAGGCTTCATTTTGACCGAATGGAATACAAACTGAATTTGGCTCTCTTTCAAGTCAGTGAAATTACATAAAAAAACTTAAAACGCTTATAACAATAATATAAATTTGAGGATAATTATGTCCTTTTCAATTGATGTCATACCAGTGACGATCCCAAGAAGCAATTGAAATGGCAACATCCATGCCATACCATAGCGTTCAAGGATAGAACCAGCAAGTGATAGAGAAGAGTCTTTGAACTCACTAACCAATGTCAAGTCTCTGTTCCATACTCTTTCTATTGTGTCAAGGCCACGAAATAAACCCCAGCCTCTGCAATGTTTCACCAAGCCTTCTATGATAGGGTTAGGGATTTACATTGCCGTTGGATAGCATAATAGCAGCCGCTATATGGTGGTAGCGGTGTCATCCAAAACTGTTAGTGTCAAAAATAGCGGTGTGAAGCAGAATCACTGGACCTCTAGGATGCTTAACTCAAAATGTTGCCAAATTCCGAACCGACCCACCGAGTCTCGATGAACAAGGGAGTGTGAGGAAGCATAACCAAGCTGCAAAAGTCTTCAATCTGCAGCTTCACGCCCTCACTATAAAAATTGCAGGGCCAGTATACAGATTCAAATTTTACCTACGTTGACGTCCACACAATAAAGTACAACCTTATCTCTAATTATGCTAACTCGGCAAGTATGTTCATGGAAGGTTTTCTAATCTCTAAATTTGGTTTTGGGAGCATGAAGTTTCAGGATAAGCCAAAGTTGTGATTCTTTGAGTGCTTACCGTTTTGCAGGATTTGAGCAGCCTATAATGGCTTGCTGTGGGTCCGGTGGCCCGCCTTTGAACTACGATAGCTGAATCGCATGTGGGAAAACAAAAGAGATTAATGGAACCACAGTGACAGCCAATGCATGCAATGATAGTTCTAAATATATATCGGAGGCTGTGAACCGGTATGATTCATTGCAGATACTCACCGGAAAGTACTCATGCTTGAACTCTTCTTTGTATTGAGTTCTAGTAGTCATTGCAAATGTCATTGATTAAAAAAACTATTTATCTGCAGATTGAAGTCATTATTCATTCACCAGTGAAAAGTATGACAGATCTCAAAATATAGTTCTTGTGTTGTCAACTTCCTTTTCCCGATTTTAAAGCTTTAACCATTCTGATTATGGCGATTATAGAACTCGGTCACGTGTTAATCGAGCTTTTTTCTAAACACGAACCAAATATTATTAATAATTTAATTTAAAACATTAAAAATTTAATATATTATTTTTTCGAGTTGCTCGAGAGTTTTTGAGTCGGGTATCAAGTAGCTTACTTTGACTCGTTAAGAACTCGAGTCGATTCAAGTGACAATCGAGTTTTGATTATATCGAGCTCAAGTAGCTTAATCTGTCTCATCTCCTTTACAACCCTAAAGCTAAAAGTTGAAAATCTCAATGGCTTACCTAATAAAAACAAAGCTTAAATATACATTTGGTACTTTGAAATTAATATTTGAAATAGAAACATTCTTGTAAGTTATTACTTTTAATAATTTTATACAATTTTTATTTTATCAAAAGTCGGCATTGTTAATAAAAGTATCAAAACAGTGAATTAAATTAAAGTTTGAGTATCAACTTGAGAACAAAATTTCTTTAGGTGCCAATTTGGTATATATTTAAGCCTAATATTAGTGACAAATTGTTTTATTAGTCCATGCGTTATGTTATGGATTTAATCTTTATAGTCTAATTTGATCGTTTTTAGTTCCAAGACTTTTAAATTTTTAAAAATTTTGGTTTTGATCAATAGAGTAACAATTAAATCTAAGTTCATGATTTAATTTGGTACCTGAATTTAATATTTTTATTCATGTATTAGGCTTAAATTATGAATTAAGTATTTAGGTAAACTTTAATTAAAAAAAAGTATCTAGGTACGCTATTTTTTCTTTTCAAAATCATATCTAATGTTATGTTTTAGTTTCAATTTGGTCACATGCCGTTAAAAAAACAGAATTACTGACGTGATCATTTTTTTCATGATGGTGACACGACAACATCACCGTTAATGTTTTTAATGATGAGTGACCAAAACGTAATGCTAGGTATGATTTTGAAAATAAAATAGTATGGTGACCAAATTGGAACCACTAGAATAGTTAGGTGATTAAATACATAGTTTATCCTAAGTATTTATACTCTAAATTCATTTCTTGCTCTCCACTTGGTCTATTTCAAGTGTGGACACTTTCCCTCCTTACCCCCATATATTTTTGGTGGGTGAAACTCCAAGTTTCAATCTCAACTTAGTACATGAAGAAGAAGAAGAAAAATTCTATGTGAGAATGAAGAGATATAATGTATGTTTCATGTAAACTATGCCGCAACAAGATTTATTCCTACAAAAAGAAAGTTGGTATCAATTCTTTCCCCATTTTTAAAAGGTGGCATTTGTTCTATGAATTTAACCAACTTATTAGGGACAACAATTTAACCCAATATCGACAAATTTTGACTTGAACTAATTTGATAGAGTCAATTTTTTTAAAAAAAGTCAAATTCGAATCGGATCGGGTCAGTTTCTTTAATAGAGTTAAGTCAGGTCGGGTTCAGGAGGAGGGTGAAAAAACTCCAACCTGACCCGACTCGGGGTAGTAGTGTAATTTCTTCTCTATTGTTTTTCCAATTAATTCCCTATTTTATATTGGGTTGGATTGAGTCGGATCGGATTTATACTCTAAAAATTTGAGTCGGGTCGAAGTCGGATGGACGATATATATTTTTCAGGTCGGGTAAGATCGAACGGAGAGTATATATTTTTTAAGTAGGGTCAAATCGGGTTTGGGTGGAGGATATATATTTCCAAGTCGGATCGGATGGACTAAAAAACCAACTCAACCCGATTCGTTGTCATTCCTAATTTTCCTAATTTAAAACCTTCCTTTTGCACATAGTTGCAATCTTCAATAGATCCTTGTATCTTTTTTAATACTCTGTGTAAGTATAAGATAATATCTGTTTAAAACAAAATTTTATTATTAATAACGTATATATATCCCGAAGATACATCTATTTAAACCTAAAATTTAAAAAGAATAATATTTTCTTCTATAACAGAATTCATGGGAGTTATATATAAACACTCAAATGAAGTGATCAAACGATGCATCAGATTTGAGAAATGGAAAGCCAGCAATGCAAGGTGTTTTCTCCTTTCTGATGCGTCGTTCGAGCAAGCAGCTGAAATACCTTGTGACTCTAACTTGGATCATATTCTGAATTCAGTGCAGGAACCTTTGTTGCAGTCAGCTTAGCAATGTTTGCACTGGTGTTAGTTGGAAGGGCAGCATTGTGTACCCACTAGCAAACTTCATGAACTGTACTAAGATACAGGATTGTTCGAATATCGAGTTCCCACAGCAGGTGCTAACAGAAACCATCCATGAATTTAACTGTTGTCAAATGGTTCTAATCCGAACTTTTTCTAAATCTTTGAATCCTCAGTTTGTAATGTGGTGGGCGGGCCTCATGAGAGGTGCTGTCACTATTGCACTGTCTTACAACCAGGTAAATGTTCATATTCCTAGTTCTGGTTTAATAACTTAAAGCTCTTATTTCTTAGTTGATATCAAGATCAAGAATACTTGAATGCAGTTTTTTTCGAATTCTGAGAATGAAAATACCGAAGATTCTGCATTGATGATCACTTGTACCATGATTCTAGTCATGTTTAGCACAGTGGTAAGCTAATTACTTCATAACTCCGCGATCTTGTTTCTGCAACTTGTTTAACCCGTCATGTCGGGAACATTGATACTATAACGTTGCTGTGGAACAGTTGATGGGTTCGATAACAAAACCATTGATCGAAGCATTAGCGCTATTAAGACATGCGAGACAAAATGTTTCAGACGCTACTGATATTTCCAGCCTCGAAGACTTGAGAATTCTGTTGATTGAAAGTGGTGCACCAAGTGACATGTTGGAGAATCAATTGGCTGCGGCATCCCGTAGAAGTAGTACAGTTCATCACTTGTGGAGGAAATTCGATGACAGATTCATGAGACCGGTTTTCGGTGGAAGGGAGTCTGTTCCATTTGTACCTGGTTCACCCACTGGTGCAGCTGATGAAACTTCAGGAACCTGAAGAACCATGTCTACCTACGTTGCTTCTACTCCGTATTTTTCTTGAAGTACTAGTGTCTGCCTGTCCGGTGCAAATCTTTTCATGGACATGAAGACATGACCATTTAGAGATCATCCAAAAACAAGATAAAACTAAGCATACCCATTCCGGAGACATACCCATTGGATATGTGATATGGGCCATATCGGATACTCACACTCGAATCCGGGTAGCATAGATCTACATGCATTAATATTTTCGACGATGTTATCAAATTTACCTGCTGAAAATCCTGCTAGCCTCTGATGCTTTGTATTTAAGAAATAGCCAATATAGGTGTCAGACGAAGGAAATCTATCAAGAAAAGTAAAGTATTGCCCCCCAAGTAATATTTTCTTGCATCAAAAGTAAAGCATCAATGAAATGAGTTAAATCTTCCCTCTGTTATCATTGGCTGATCAAATTTATAAAACAACCAAACGCCATTTTAGAACCATATCCCACAAAAATGGATCAAATCTTTCTCGGCCTTTGCCACAAGCTCTACAATTTCATCAGGAAATATCTAGCAACATATGCCAAGAAAAGAGTCACTTTAGGCCAAGGTTCTCATCAGAACTCAACTCATTTACCTTCTTCCGGTTCTGGATCGGTTATATCGAGCTCCATCACCGATCAAGCAATGCCTCCCGTGGCCGTTGAAACTTCGGTTGAAGATGCAAGTTTGCAGGCCAAAGTAGAGCCAGGGCCAATA